ACCAGCAGCCAACAAATGGCACTCAGAGAGCCGGCCCGTTTGGGTGGGTGGAATCCAAGCAGCTGGTGCTTCCCAGCCAAGAGACTGTGTCCACAGAAAACAGAAGAGGCCAAGTATGGGTGAAGAAGGGTAGGGGGTGGGAAAGCGTATATCACAAATTACTGGAGCTCCGCAGCACCTCAGGAAGAAGCAAAGATGGCACATGGAGCCAGGTGTTTGAGTGAATGGAAGGGGAGGTGGTGAGAGGTAAGGAAGAAATCAAAAGAAGCGGAAAAAAGCAACACCAGCAGCCAACAAATGGCACTCAGAGAGCCAGCCAGTTCAGGTGGGTGGAATCCAAGCAGCTGGTCCTTCTCGGACAAGAGATTGTGTCCGCGGGAAGCAGAGGAGGCCAATTTGGGGTGAAGAAGGGTGGGGGGTGGGAAAGAGTATATTGCAAATTACCAGTTGTTTTGTCTCCCTCTGGAAGCTCCATGAAGCTGCTTTCTTGTACCCCCTGTTTGCTGGTCTCCGATAGGAGTCCAAGATGTCGGATCCACGCTGCGTTAGCTGTTAGGGGACCTCTGCATGAATCTGTCCTCGCTGTCCGTTCTCTGTTAGTTTTCTCACTCCATTTGGTGCTTGACTGAGTTCTTTATATCTTCATTTGATGTTTTAGGGTTTCAGGATTGTTGTTTTCTCTGTTCGGCTTAGTTTTTTGGATTTTTCTTGTGGAGGGATGGCGTGGTGTTTCTGCCTACAACGCCATTTTGCCAGAAGTCCTCTGGCCTTCCTTTTCATGGCGCAGTGGAAAAGGATGATGGGGGGGGTTGGGTACCAAGGAGAGCAAATTTATATTAGGACATTGGATATGTCTGAGAAAATGAGTTATCCAGTATCTCTCCCACTTTTCCCTGTGTCTAAGCCTGCTTCTTGAATGATGTCAGGAGAATGATTCCCCTCCACTATCCTTCTCACCCTTCTTAACCACTGGTGGCACAGTGGTTAAGCACTCAACTTCTAACCGAAAGGTTGGTAGTTCGAACCTACGAGCCGCTCCGCAGGAGGAAGATGTGGCAGTCTGCTTCCTTAAAGATTTATGGCCTTGGAAACCCTATGGGGCAATTCTGCTCTGTCCTATAGGGTTGTTATGAGTTGGAATTGACTTGACAAGCAGTGGGTTTGGTTTTGGTTTGATCCTCCTCATGGGACCCTTTACTCCAGTCAGGCCAGTTGGGCTCTTGCCCCAAACACATGTGGTGCTATTGCTGATGGTCTGCCATTATCAGTCGGCTCTGCCTGTCCATCCTCAGAGGAGCCTCGGTGACCACTGTCGCTTTTGCGTGTGCTCTGCTTTGAGCTCTTAAGGCTTGGGGAGCTTATGCCACTTGTTTGATAGCTGATTCCTGCCAGGTGGTGTTCTGTCCTAATTATGAGTCTTTTCTCTCAAACTTGAATGTAAGTCCCCTGAGAGACTTGAATGTAAGTCCCCGGCACTGAGCACATAGGAAGTTTCTGTAAGTACTTGCTCACTGATTTGAAGGAAAAGGAAAAAGTTCAAAACAAAAATCCCAACTCAGATGGACACTGCTATTTTGTGTTTCAAAGTAACCTTTAAGTAGGCTTTCTGTAATATATGGAAACCTCGGTTAAAATTAACTATAATTTCTAGTTACATGTAAACTTTTTTAGAGCTCAACTTTTATGTGGTAAAGCATACGTAGTAAACTTTTACTAGGGATTTAATAAAACAGACTAAAATAAAACACTTCTAGGGTGAATTCCTAGAGTGCAGTGTGATTGTTCATCTCTATCTCCAGTACCTTCTGCTTGTTCATTGTTACTGTGAGAGCATCAGTCTTTAAAATGGTAGCTCTGAGATAGTAGAAGGTCTGAATTGCCAAAGAAAAATTATCTTCACCACACTGTACTTTTCAAGACAGGAAAGTATACAGATTATATGTTTTTAAGATGCTTAGGATAAGCATGTATTTCAAAAGAGGCTTAAGAATAATTTATTCTTTGTTAACCAAAAATCTACACAGACTATCCCTTTTGTGTGCAAAACATCAATACTTTATTGTGTGTGTATTTGTATTCATTCATTCCTCATGCATTGAATGAACACCTGTGATGAGCCACACTTTAAGCATTTATAATACATTTAAATTGGGGTATATGGAATAATTAGGGCACATGAACAATTAGCCATTTGGTACAAATATAATTGTGTAGTTAATGAAACTTGTTTTCTGATCTTTCTAGACTGATAGGAAAACCCACGGAAGTTTACTTTGGGTTTTAGACCATACTAAAACTTCATTTGGGAAGCGGAAGTTAAAGAAGTGGGTGACGCAGCCACTCCTTAAGTTACGGTAAAAGGAATTCCTTTTTTTTTCTTTGTTAATTAAACTTTTTTTTATTTTGGTGAAAATATAGTCATACACAATTTTAAACAATTTCTACATGTAGAACTCATTGACATTGATTACATTCTTCAAGTTGTGCAGACGTTCTCACCATCTTTGTCTGAATTGTTCTACTACCATTGACTTAGATTCACTGCTCCCCAAGCTTCTCATTTATCCTTTCGAGTTGCTGTTGTCAATTTGATCTTACATAGATAATTCTTTAAAAGAGCACAATGCTCAAGGTAGATGTACTTAACTTATAAAGTTGTTGTTTGGTTCAAAGAAGACTTCAGGGGATAGGTTTGGTTTAAGGTTTAAAGTTTAAAGATTATCTCAGGGTGATAGTTTTGGGGGTTTATCTAGCCTCAGTGGCCCCAGAAACTCTGACTTCCATTGAGAATTTGAAATTCTGTTTTGCGTTCTTCCCCCTTTTGAACAAGATTCTTCTATAGAACCTTTGATCAAAATGATCAGTAATGATAGTTGGGCACCATCCAGTTCTTGTCTCATGGCAAAGGAAGCAGTCATTCCTGGAGGTAATCAGACAGCAATCTGTTTCCTCCTCCAATTCCTGACTCTTCTTTTTCCTCTGTTGCTCCAGGTTAATGGAGATTGGTTGTACCTTAGATGGCCACTTGCTAGCTTTTAAGACCCTAAGCACTACCTTATGAACTGGGAGGTAGAATGGAAGTACTGAGAAACTGTATTAGGCCAATTGATTGGGATGTCCCTTAAAACTATGACAGTGAACGTCCAAACCAAGAAAACAAATCTGGTGTTCGACTGTATCTAAGCAACCTCAACAGTGGCTCTCTTTTTTTTTTGTAAAAATGTATATATATCACAACATTTGCCAATTCAACCTTTTTCAGGTGTACTGCCTAGTGATATCAATTACATTAATTAGTTGTACAACCATTACCCTTGTTGTTGTTGTTATGTGCTGTTGAGTCGGTTCCGACTCATAGTGACCCTGTAGGACAGAGTAGAACTGTCCCCATAGGGTTTCCAAGGATCGGCTAGTGGATTTGAACTGCCAACCTTTTGGTTAGCAGCCCAGCTGTTAACCATTGTGCCACCAGGGCTCCCCATTACCCTTAATCAATGCCAAATTAAAAGGAATTACTTTTTGTGTGTTTAATCTGAAAATTATACAAAATCGTGAAATTAAAAGTAGGCCAGTCTCCTTAAGGAACTACATTTCCCAAGGTTACCGTGGTTTATAGGAACATAATTTTAAATGGGGGAAAATTTTATTAAGTATCTGACGACAGAATATCTAGAGTTCTGAGAATTTTTTCTTTGTCCCCAAGAATGAGCCTGCGTGCAGATTGGAAGACATGGGATGTATCTAAGAAAATGAGGAATCCTATTAGTTTGGGTCATCAGTTGCATAAAGGAGTAGGGAAGAGGGGTTCTGGAGAGATGGGTCAGGGTCTTTTGTAGATGGGTAGGGCCTTGAAGGCTAGGCTGAGGAATTGGTAGCCAGAGGAAGTTAATTCAGTGATTCTGAGTGTGGGAGTGATACCAGACCTGGGCTTGCATGTAGGCAGGGCCAGGCAGTTGGGGGACAAGTTAGCAAGTTTCTGGATCGCTGCTGAGCACCTGAGCCAAATCCATAACAGTAAGACTCTGAAAGAGGTTTCAAATGTGAGACTTGGGAAAGTAGACTCAATAAACTAGGAAGTCTTTGAGGGGAAGTAGCTGAGTCTAGACCCTAAAACACAGTGGTTTCCAATCTCGTCTACGTATTGGAATCCCCTGGGAGCTTCACAAACTACTGATGCCTGTGCCCAACTCCCAGAGGTTGTGGTGTAACTGGTCTGGAGTGTGGCCTGGGCTTCGGAATTTTTGAAAGTTCCTCAACTGATTCTGGCATGCAGACAAGTTTGGGGACTCTGACTTAGAACAGTTGTGTAGCACTTAATAGGAGCTCAGTTAATGTTTTCTGAATGAATAAATGCTATTATTATTGAGCTCTGCTATGCACCAGTATTTAAGACTGAAAATACAAGCAGTCGCTGGACTATGAACAGCAGACTTAGGAACAACTTGTACTTGCCCTTTAATGTTATGTAAATTTGCCCTCACTTTGAAAGGATTGAACCAACTCCAACCCCTACTCACAACAAATTCTTGATCACAATCTCCTTCACTTGCTGCACGTGCAGCTCTTAAATCATTGAAACAGCTTCGAGCCTTTCCTTGCACTAACGTAAGTCTAAATAAGAAACATATGTACCTGTTCTGACTTCCCTACAAGTTCAACTTAAAGGCATAGCTAGGAACTAATCTCCTTCGTAACCTGGGGACTGCCTGTAACCCTCTGAGGTAGGTCCTTGAGATGAGGAAACAGATTCTGAGAGGTTTAAATAACTTGCTCAGTGTTTCACAGTAGAGGTAGAGCCCAGGTTTAAAACCAGCATTGACTCTGGAGCTCAAGTGGACACTTAACCTTTGTTCTGATCAGCCACCCATGTGGATAGACAGAGAGTATGGTGTGGTGGTGAAGGGGAATACTGTGCGTCTGCTCTGTCACTTGAGTGAGTCAATCATGCTAAGCCTCAGTGTTCTCACCTTTGAAGTTCCTGTCAGGAATAAAATGAGACAACAGTACTAACTACCACTTTTGAGTTCTTTGCTACATACCAGGCACTATACTTAGGTGCTTTACATGCATTATCTCTTCTAAACCACACACCAGCCTCATTAAGTAGATGCCATTATTAGCTTCTGGGTGGTGCAAATGGTTAAGCCCTTGGCTACTAACCAAAAAGTTCGTGGTTCAAATCTACCCAGAGGCACCTGGGAAGAAGGACCTGGCGATCTACTTCCTAAAGATCACAGTCATTGACGATCCTATGGAGTGCAGTTCTACTCTGAAACACACGGGGTTGCCATGAGTTGGAATCGACTTGTCAGCAACGGGTTTATTATCAGCTCCGTTTTACTCTGTGCTTAGTAATAGTCAATAAATGATAGCAGATGTTGTTAATGTTAGTAACAAGCTTTAAGACCCTGTTTTGATGAGGATGATGATGATTACTGAATCACTTTGGTATCTAGCAGGTTGTTCCATTTTTCTTTCTTGACCATAAAGACCCTAGGATATGGGAAACTGCTAGGTAAAGAAGAAATTCTTTAAATGGAATTATCTACTTTAGTTCAATATTCAAATAAAATATAGGTACTTTGTACTCTGTGGAACAAAAGCAGACAATACAACTTTCTGCAGACAGTCTGTGGACTGCAAAAAGGGGTATAGCATTCTGGCTGATGGAAAGATATCTTCCTAAACATCGATGGCAATTCTGACCATTTTTTGCTTGGTTGAAATATTCAATAGAAATAGGCTCATTAGTGGACTTTATCATGTAAATTTCAATTTTCATTTCTGATGTTAAATTTCCTTTATTCTGTTTAAGCAGGATTAATTTGAGATAAATTCAGTAGACCATGTTATATGCATTTTTGGGGCTGAATCACATCTCCTTGGGATCCTATTTTACATGAAAGGCTGATAGAGAATGTGCCACGCCTTACCATGCCTTAGACACTGATGCTAAACTTTAGACTGGCCTATCACGTAAATTAGGCAAAAACAAACAGAATATTTTTCTTTTCCCTTTTCATTTTAGTTCATATTTCTTAAACTTTTGTCCCCCTAGTCCATTAAAATCCACTGCAAAATAATTTCAGTTAAATCTTAATGGCATTTGCAGCCTATTCCAAACAAATACCTAGAAAAAATCTTCAGGTGTTTAGTCAATGACTCAGCTATGTATTTATTGTTGGTTTTTTTGGGGTTTTTTTTGCACATAAGAAGTGCCATACTAATCACATCAGTGGTCCATCCAGTCTGATATTCTGTCCCTGGCATTGACAGCCAAAGCTTAATTTAGGACCTGGTTTTCTTCTCTAGTGAGATCATGGAACAAGTAATGGGTGACAAGGGGATTTAGTGAAATAAGGCAGATCTCCCCAAGTTCTCTAAGAGCCCATTATTTGTCAGTCATCCATGAATTCTCTTAAATCTCTTAAGATTCACTTTCTCTTTTTTATTCTAGTTCTCAGGGTAGTCACAAGATTTATATATCTAGTTCTAAAGTGCTTCAAGTTTCAGAGGATTTTTCATCTCCCACCACCTTTTATTCTATAAAATGGCCTCTTTGGTGCAGAATTTTACTAGTGACTTTTAGAAAGTATAAATGGTGTTTACCCAAGACTTATTCACTGATTAAATAAATTCACTTAGATTATTGAGATTACTTTCCTTTATACATTGCTTTGTGTAAATAGGTTATGCTTTCTTATGTGTTGTGACCTGTGCTTATTATCAATTCTACTAATTTTAGGCAAGAAAATTCTTAAGTCTATAGCTCTGTGGCTTCTTATAAACGAAGGTCACATTGCCAAGCAATTGGTCCTAAGGCCTTTTAAAATTAAATAAATTATATTGAGTTCATTTGTTTGAGGTTCCATTTTTAATTGCTTTTACTTCTTTTAGTTGATATGGTCTTGTCAATCTTTTATATATATACCACATGTACTTTATTGGTTTTGTCAAAACGCCTTTCTGCTAGTAAATATCGATAGAAAAAAAACAAAACAAACTGTGAAAAGTATGAGATACATCTCTATAATGATGTTTTAAGCAAAATAATTAATTTCCAAGGCTATTCAGTTGTCATAGAAGAAAGTATTCAAAATTCAGTGTTGTTGTTAGGTGCTGTCCAGTTGATTCTGACTCATAGCAACCCTATGTACAACCGAACGAAATACTGACCGGTCCTGTGCCATCTTCACAATTATTGCTGTGTTTTAGCCACAACATCTTGTTGAGAGTCTTCCTCTTTTTTGCTGACCCTCTCCTTTACCAGGCGTGATGTCCTTTCTCCTCCAGGGACTGATCCCTCCTGATAACATGTCTAAAATATGTGAGTTGAAGTCTTGCCATCCTTGTT